ATTAACTGTCTGTACCCGGCGATGGGTGACAACTAGGACCAAGGGCAAATGGTCACTCCGTATCTCTCATCTGATGCTTTTGTTGGAGATGACTACCTACTGGCATTGTATCTAAACTAAAAGTGTGTGTGTGTGGCTTTAAAACTATTTGCTTCCGCTATTTTAGTTTGAACTTGGACTGTAATAACTTTATGTTTTAAACTCTGATGTACCCAACTGTGATTGTGAACTTTATGTAACGTGTGACGATACTTGCTAAACTTGTACGATCTTGGTTTGTATATCGATTGGTTTGAAATCCTTCGTGGTTTCACGGACTACCGGGTTATACGGGCTTAAGTTTGCTAAATTATCTACTTCGGCGGAAGATTTTCTTACTTAATCTCGTATAATTGGTCGGTTCTATTACAGAGGTGCAGAGGGCCAATAGCTCTATTTCGTGAGAGACTCTATTTAAGCCCCTTGGCTGGCTCAAGCTCACTCTCTTGGCCATTTGCATTTGAAAGGATCAAAATACCCAAGTGGGGGTGAATTGGGCTAATTCTAAATTTCTTTCAATAATTAATCCCTACACTTATCCCATTTCACCCCCTTGTGCCTAGAAGTATTTATATTATTCTACCGCACAAAAGTTTTACACCCTAGGTTTCAATCCTACTCTAGCATGGCAATTCTAAGAATGTAAAGACATGAATTGAATTACTCAAATGTAAATGCTCAAAGTAAAGAGAGAGAGAGGAACGCGGCGATGTTTTTCCGAGGTATCGGAGAGTCGCCACTCCCCACTAGTCCTCGTTGGAGCACCCGCGCAAGGGTGTAGCTCCCGCTTGATCCGCGTAAGGATCAAGTGCTCTCTACGGGCTAATTCTTTGACACTCCATCACGGTGAATCACCCACAACCGCTCACACCATGACTTGGGTCATCCACAAGCTCCGTCGGATGATCACCAAGCTTTCAATCACCACAAAACCGTCTAGGAGATGGCGATCACTAAGAGTAACAAGCACAAACTCTCAGTTGACCAAGACAAGCCTAATGAGAAAGGTGGATGCACACTTGCTACTCTCTATGCACTAATGATGTTCTTAATCTTGGATTATCAAATCTCAATCACCCTACTAGGCTCTTGCTCTCCCTTGCACTCTAAAGGTGTTTCTTAGCTAAACAAATAGGCAAGAGCACTAAGTTGGACGAGCAGGAGAAGTATATATACTCCCCACTTTAAAATATAACCGTTATTGTCCAACTCAGCAGTTTCCGGGGTGATTGGATGCACTGGTCGAATTGACTGGACACGTCCGGTCAGTAGCCAATGGCTACGTGGCGTTAGCCTATCAGGGAAGGCTATTGGAGTGACATGACGTTGGCCAGCGTCTAGTCAACATCCACCGGACGTGTACGGTCAGGAATTTTGGTCTCTGGACGCTCTCTATTTGACCTGACGCTGCAAACTTGGCGTCCGGTCATTTACTGTTCAATGTTCGATCCTCCCTGATAGTGGGCCCCTACTGCTATAGATACGACTAGAGGCATGTCCGGTTTCAATCACTGTGCAGCATCTGGTCGCTCCTCGGCTTCCACTGTGCACACTGATCACTGACCGGACGCAGCACCTGTGAGTCCGGTGATCACTAAAACAGCGTCCGATCAATATTTGACCCTCCATTCACTTCCAATTTAAAATCCTTTATGAATGAGATTGACTCGAATTTAACTTTGGGCTATTCCTAAGCTACCTAGTGCTAAGTTTGACAAGTGTGCACCACACCTAACTTATTAGACTCACCTAGGTCAAGCTACTAGTTCATACCCCCCTTAATAGTACGGTCAAATGAAAAACAAAGTCCTAAACTACTCTAAGTGTCTCTCCAACGCTAAACGATACTTAGAACTAGTCTGTCCTTAACCTTGTCGTCCAACCTTTGAAAGCCAAAACGATTTCCATCGATAGGGGCATGAAAACCATAATTGCCCAAACAATCATCATTACCATGACCTAACTCAAGTTGCATCTGCGAAACACACGTTAGTCATAGTAATCTCGTGTCGTCATTAATCACCGAAATCCAACTAGAGGCCTAGATGCTTTCAGCATTGACATAGCAACCTTGTGAGCTTAGCCAAAGCCTCTACTCATCTTCATCATTGATTCAACATCTTTGTGAGATTGGGAGTGAATCTAAGTGCATTACTTTAGTAATTGCATCTAGAGGCACTTGGTGTTCGTGTTTTGCTACGAGATTTGCTTGTTACTCTTGGTGGTTGCCGCCACCTAGACAGCTTAGAGCAGCGAGGATCGTCGAGCGGAGGTTGGTGATTGTCTCCGGCTCCGATCATGGTGATTATGAGGGGTTCTTGACCTTTCCCCGATGGAGAGCCAAAAGGTACTCTAGTGGATTGCTCGTGGCTTGTGTGATCCACATCTTGTGTTGGTTGTGCGGTACCCAGTTGCGGGTTTGGCGTGTGATGCCAATTAGCTGGTGAACCTCCAAGTGAGTGAATCGCCACAATGAGGACTAACTTGCCAGTAAGCAAGTGAACCTCATTAAAAAATTGTGTCATCATTGTCGAAGGATTTCTTGGTTTTCATTGTGATCATCTTGTAATTGGCTCAATTCCTCGACACATCGGTATAATCATCACAATCCTATCTTGTATTATATTCTTATAGTGTAAGCTAAGCTCTTTAGTGTAACTAGTTTTGAGAGCTAGCTTGCGGCGGATCTAGTGGTTAGTGAGGCTCTTTAGTTAGTTTTTGAGAGCTCACTAACTTGGTGTAGTGACTTAGCCAATTGTGTGCTTAGAGATCATAGTCACTAAAATTATGGTAGGTGGCTTGCATTTTTAGTAGGCTAGCACAACACTCGCTTCGCCGTTTAATTATCTAACATCTTTGCTAAGTGTTGTTGTAGAAATTTTCAATAGGCTATTCACCCCCCTCTAGCCATTAGGACCTTTCAGCAGTCCGAACCCATAGAAGGTGTAGTTTGGGCTCCCAATGGCTCTTTTATTGGGAAGTCAATAAATAGAGAATGTGCTCGGGGTTTTAAGCTCTATTGGCCCTTCCAACTAATGCATACACCCTGGAGAACCTCAAGAACACTTCTCACTCACTTGGTTTCATAGAGATTGATCTAACAACCCATTTGGATGTTGGTATTGAGGCCTAGAATTTGGAATTGGCATTGATACCCCCTAATTCCATTGTTTGGATGGCCTTGATATTGGTCGGTGGAAACGGGCTCTAATACCATGTGACAATTAGGCCGCCTGCTCAACTTCACGCACAATACCAAGGCCACGCCCTCCGTATTCATCTGAATTGGTCGCTCACTCGCTCTGCCTTCTTCCGCATGCGACGCGTCCGTGAAAAAAACCGTCGGTATGGACGGGAGGTGACCCCTGGAGGACGGTGGCGCCATAGGTGCCGTCCCTCTCGCTCTCCTTTGGCCGAGGTGCCCTCCCTCTCGCTCTCCCTCTCGCCGCGGTTGCCGAGTTGCACCCGCATGCCCGTGGTGGAGCCCCTGCCCCTCCCCTCTCCCGTGCCGTTGAGATCCGCCATGGCCGTGGCTCCGAGATCCACTCGCCATGCCTAGGGTCGAGCTGCTCCCATGGCGGTTGACGAGCTTCCCCCGCTGTGGCTAGGCTGACCTCACCCCATGGCTGCGGCTGCCGAGTTGCGCATGCCATGGCCGTGTGGAGCCCCTCGCCCTCCCTCCCCCGTGCTGTTCAGATCCGCCATGGCCATGGCTCCGAGGTCCGCCTCCCATGGCCGGAGTCGAGCTCCCCCATGGCGGCTGGCGAGCTTCCCCCTCTGTGTTCGGGGTCAACCTCACCCCATGGGTGCGGCTGCTGAGTTTTAATTGCATGCTTTTGCATCTAAACAGGAATTGGATCTGAGCTACTTCCTATTATTCCAAAAGCCAATTCAAGAGTCTTCGAAACAATAATATTTAATTTGTTGCCATTTTCAATACCATGGGTACTTTGGTACTGAACCCAAATCAATTCCATCCCTCTTAATATACATCCAAATGGACCCTAAGTGAGTTTGGAAGAGATCTACTTCATCGACTCATCTAGGGATGATATATGATGTCCGATTCTTGTATGTTACCCAAATTCACGATTCGTGCTCATAAAAAATAAAAATTAGAATATCGTGGCTAGCTCTAATACAGAGTTCAATTTTAATATGTACTCCTTCCAGTTTCTTAAAAGATGTCATTTTGGATAAGGCTTGGGTCAAACGTTGAGAATATAAATCATAAATAACCTTTAAATTGTTGAGTTTGGAAATGTGAAAACTATATGAATAGATTTATCTTGAAATATACTTCCAAAAAATATACATATATTACTTTTCAATAAATATTTTTATAAAAATAAGAAGTCAAAGTTATTAAACTTTGAAGATCGTATCGCTGTAAAAAACGATGTCTTTTAGGAAACTGGAGGTTGTACTGAGTTTGGTGAAAGGCATGAACACGTTTGCTAAGGGCGCGTTTAGTTCGCGAATTTTTTGGGTTTGGCTACTGTAGCACTTTCGTTTGTATTTGGTAATTAGTGTCTAATTATGGACTAATTAGGTTCGAAAGTTTCATCTCGCGATTTCTCACCTAACTGTGCAAATAATTTTTTTTTTGTCTACATTTAGTATTTCATGCATGTGCCGTAAAATTCGATGTAACACTTTGGAGTGTAAATTTTTAAAAACTAAACGGAGCCTAACACTATAAATGTGATAAATGTGAAAAGTTACTCTGAAAAAATTGAAAAGAATAATCGGGAGAACCTGCAGCAGCTGCAGGTGCGGGCGCCAGCCTGGTTGGCCTACCACCGTGTCCCCGTCGCAATCCAGATCCGAGATGCGTTGTCTCATCATCATCTCCATCCCCAAATCCGCAATTCATCGTTCTCCTCTTTCTCTCTCCTCCTTCGGAACCCTCCAGGCCCCCAAACCCCAATCTCTCTCTCCGCTAGGATTAGCGTAATTCCATGGCCGGCGCCGGCATCCACCCGTTCCACCAGCAGTGGCCACCCGCGGCGGCCGCGCCGCCCCCGCCGGGGGCCGCGGCCTCGGTCGCCGTCCCGCCGCCTCCCCCCGTGCCCAGCGCGCCGGGCACCGTTGCCGCCGACGAGGTCCGCACCATCTTCATCACGGGGCTCCCTGCCGACGTCAAGGAAAGGGAGCTGCACAACCTGCTGCGCTGGCTCTCGGGATTCGAGGCCTCCCAGATCAACTTCAAGGGCGACCAGCCCATGGGCTTCGCGCTCTTCTCCACCGCGCACCAGGCCGTCGCCGCCAAGGCCGCGCTCCAGGTTTGTTTGCTTCGGTTCTTGATGGTGGGCGAGGGTTTCGATTTTGGAGGGATGAGATGTGACCCCCGGGCACTCGTCATCTGCAGGATATGGTGTTCGATGCTGAGACCAAGGTGGCGCTGCACACCGAGATGGCCAAGAAGAACCTCTTCGTCAAGAGAGGTGAGGTTATTGTCCACTTATCATGCACATGTTCTCCCTGCTGTCGTCGCTCTAATAGCATACATCATCATTAATGGAATTTCTAACCTCATAGATAGAGTTTGTTGTTGCATTAGTACAATGTTGTTGGGATAATCTTCATTGGGAGGCGGTGCTTCCCTGTACTGTCATGGCTCTTTTGTTTGGTTCAAATTTGAAAGGAGCAACATGTGATGCTGGGTACATTGAGTCAGAGTAAAGTTTGCCACGTCTTCTGAACATTGTTTGTCGTTCTTGAGACAAGGACTATGGTATCTAGTTACTAGTCTTTTTTTCTCTTGAGATTTAATAGAATTCCCTTAATCAATAATTACACAACAAATTTGAAGCAATAAACCTTATAGATATCAGTAACCCGAAGGCAGGCCCATGCACTGGCTTGGCTATTGGAAGAAGGTATCAGCATCGTTTGTAACCTGGAGGTTATTTTGATCAATGTCAAAATGTGAGCTTCAAGTACAAAACTGTGGAATATGATATGTTTATTTTCGTTAGTAATTGAATAAAGCTTCATAGTATTAATATTAATTAAAAAAACTTGACCCTGGGGTACAGCCATATATGCAGAAGAAACCCTTGAACCCCTGGCTTCACCATATATGCAGCATGAAACAAGTATAGTTGAGTTGCCAGAATTCTTTTGCTGGGTTTACTGCTTAGCACAAACCAGTCTAGCTTGATCTTAGTTTGCCCCTTTAATAACTGTTTGCGTCCAGTATAATGAATGGTTTGGTTACTACTGATGTTTTGCATATTTATTATGTTTGAATGATTAAAACCATTTTAGGTGTGGGAATTGATGCTAATGCTGTGGATCAAAGTAAACGGTTGCGAACAGGTGGAGATTATACTCATTCTCCTTATGCTCCTCCATTTCATCCACCTCCACCAGCTGTTTCCATGTGGGGAACCCCAGGGTAAGTGTTTATTCTTTTTTCTCATGCAGTAATTAATCATTCGTCAAGGGCTTATCATTTCTCTTTTTGGATATGATTCAGTTATATCACGGCGCCACCTCCTTACAATCCATATGCTGCCTATCCAGTGCCCCCTGTAGCTATGACTTCACCTTCTCCTGTTACAGGTCCAACTGCCTATGCTCCTGTGCAGGTAATTTTAGAGTTGATGTTGCCTGAATCATAAATAAAAGATTGCGTTATTTAGTTTTTCATGGTCATGATTTTGTATCGAACCAGTCTTGACAGGCCTAGCAGGGGTAAAGTGTGAGACAAGCACTTTTCCTGTATTAAGTTTCTTCTCTGCATGACAAGAACTTGCATGATTCATGTTTCATCTATAGAATATTTGAGGCCAGGGCTTGTGTAATAACAATATCAAATTGTGACCCCTTCACCCTGTTTCTCTTGCTATGTCCACTTGGATATAATTGGTTATGTGAACTTCTGATGAATACTGATAGTTTTACTTTCTGAAGCCTTTGGCACTGTAATTTTCATGATATGTATCTCTATCATTGGTTGGGACTTGGGACTCAAGAAAACTTGAGAACAAAGAATTGGATTGGCAATTACTGTTGGACTCTTGGTATAAATTGCCTTAAGAATTTGTTCCTTCAGATATGTCAATCAAGAATATTTATTGTCCAGTTATTTACATTCTAGCAAATTCCTTTCCAACTTATTCCATTCGCTGTGAACACTGTTTTATACCTTTATTGAACAGACTCTATTGATGTATCTCTCATGGTCATAAGTTTTCTTTATGTGTGTATATGCAAGCATATTAAGGCTTGATTGTCACAAAAGCTTTACATTTGGAAGAAATTAGATGACTAGTTTAATTGCTAGAATATTTTGTTATCCTTTAAATAATTTCATTGTTACATAAAATACTATATAAAAAGGCAAATATTTGCAGCATTATTTAATGTAATGTAGTTGAAGTTTGTCTTGGGTCTATGGTGACAGCTGATTCAAAGTTGTTCATATCCAAGATTCTAAAGGTTATAATTTCTTATGAAAAATTATAATTTTGTTTTGTAGAACACAAAGGATAATCCTCCCTGCAATACCCTTTTCATTGGTAATCTCGGTGATACTGTAGTCGAAGAGGAATTGCGAAGCCTCTTCAGTGTGTAAGGACCTGCACTTCCAATAGCAACATTCTACCTGTGGATTCCATTTTGCCTACTGGGTGTGTGGCTGCTGCATATTGTGGTTCTGGTTGGTGCAATCATCTGTTTTTTCTTTCAACGTTTTCACAATTTTTTGCAGGCAACCTGGATACAAACAAATGAAAGTGTTACGTCAAGATAGGAACACTGTTTGCTTTATTGAATTTGAGGTAAGTAGTTACGGGTTTTCATTATTGATTAATATAGTGAGACAATACCTTTGTTTCCCAATCACATGTCTCAAGGCCTTCTTTTTTTTTTTCAGGATGTTAATGCTGCTACGTCAGTACACCAAACTCTGCAGGGTGCTGTTATTCCTAGTTCTGGTCGTGGTGGAATGCGAATTCAATATCCTTTATCAATCGAAAAAATGTTGGATTCTTAAATTGAATCAGACCTATATCTCGATTTTCAATTTAATAATCTCTTCATAATAGCAATCCACCCTTTATATCTATACATGGATACTTCATGTTTTTATATCTTAGATATCCACACTTCCATTTCCTTCATTCTAATTTAGTTTGTATCACATTTTGGCACTCCTTAACATCTTGCACGTTTTCGAAGAATCCCTTTGGGCGAAGGAAGGATTCAGCTGGTGACCTTGCGAGCGTTCTGAATGGAGCTCCTGCAAACTGATTGCAGGCTGAGGGGGATGTATCTTGAACTTTAGCATGCCATCATGGATTTCATACTACCACATCTTATTTATGATCTGCATACTTATGCTGAATGCGCTCTCTCTCATGTGACATCATCATCTTCATTTGGTGGAGCATCTGGGACATGATCATCATCTATCATCATCTTTATTAGGTGGAGGTTCTGGGGCATGATCATCATCTGGTAGACATTGCATTGTCACCAAAACATGCTGGTGTTACTTTTTTTTAATCTTATCTTTGTAGCTTGTGAAGGCCATCCTAGATGTCTTGTAGATGTGCATTTGGCATTTGTCATGGACATTACTCTTTGTAGTACTATTATTATGTATTTCCCTATGTGTAGTTGCAACATTTTGTGTGTTCATTGTAATAGTTAAGTGGTTTCTTTGGTTTACTAACAATTCGGGAATCTTGGATGATTCATTCCATCATGTCATGGCATTTTTCCGATGAAAGTTTGTAGACATGGCATGATATGGCATACTTCATTCCATGCATGCTGGAGCATTGCCTTCATCCGCACGAAGCATGTAATCATCAATTCATTAACAACGTTAAATTGTTCTTTAATGTTTTTCGTCCAGGCTGAGAGGCTAACAGTGATTGTAAAATTGCAAAAATGGCGCAAGCCGTTTCGTTCTTTTACTGCAGCGTGGAACATCAAATCGTTGCTGCGGTCCTTTTGGCAAGCCTTTTCGTTCTTTTCCTGCAGCAGATGGTAGAACGCCAAGGCGTGGCTGTGGTCCTAAGAACGTATGGATCTGCTGAGGTCTTTTTGGTTAGAGAAGGTCCTTTTTGTTAGAGAAGCTTAGTGATGCCTTGACCAGTGCATTGAGCTGGGAAGTTGTGCATTGAGCTGGGAAGCTGGGAAGTTTCATGACTGAAAGTTCTTCTGCATCTGCTGTCTTCAGTTCAAAGTTCTGTTGCATCAGCTGATTGTGTTTCATTTTCTTCAACTCTTAATGTGGAATCAAGTTTTCTGTTTAGATCAATAGATTTGTGTCTATATGTTGGTATACTAGTTTCTTATATTAGTGAGTGACTTTTGAGAAAATCTGGGAAAACTTTCTGAACTCAAAAGTACTGCAGTTGTTTTGTTATTATTTCAGCTGAAACGAAATTGGTTATTATTTCAGGTGAAACGAAATTGATTTCACAGTCCGCAATTGATGGAGGAAGAAGGGAAACGAACTTGTCTGAGTAGGGAAGTATGTGCTTTTTTATGGAGGAAGAAGGGAAGTGTGTGCTTTCATTTATGAGTTGGAGCCTGTTGTGTAGTAGGAAACTGTTGAGTGAATTTTGGTGCGTCTTCTTTCACCTTCTGACAGCCAACAGCTCGTCAACTTCTTCAATGGCGTGGATCACTCCAACCCTCCACATTGGGACATCAAACCACTGACCCAAACATTCTGCAACATCATCTCTGAAATAGGAGGGAGAATCTTCAAAGTTGATAGAAAGCTCAACACAACAGCTCATATTCTAGCTCATCAAACTTACCACTCGGATGGTAGTAGAACTAATGCCTTTCAGGCCTCATGTACCAACCCTCATCATGTATCATGCTGTCCTACGTTGACGGCCATAAACTTTGTAATGGGTGATTCGTTCACCCTTCTAGCAGCATCCTGCTGCTAATTCGATAAATATGCCCCTTATCAAAAAAAAAAAAAAAATTTGCTGCCGTCTCGTATTGAATAATGAAGGACATCCCTTCCTAGACGCGTGTATCGTTGTTAAGAAACAGTGTCCTTTCAAAGATACCAGTGCTACTGATGGGGCATGTCCACCGGCTACGGGTTGCCAACAATTGCCTCTCGAGGGGGTCTCTGTGAGTTCTGTCCTATTAACTTAGCAAGCTAGACGGGAGCGGGACTTAGAGCGATATTTTATAATGTAAATGTTTTCGAGTCGATGTTTTATAATGTCGGAACGTAAATGTTTTTGAATTGAGGAGCGAGGAATGTGGTCATGTTCTATGTTTCCTGCTGTTAAGAACTAAACTAGGAAAGGCCTAAGGAATGCAGAAAGACACCGAGAAATACAAAGTAATAGCTAGGGAAGGAGTCACTCCTCTACGCAACTTCTTCCTTATTCTTTATTCCATAGCAAAGCCTACGAGATATCTCTACTCGATCTCCACTATGAGATCTTCTATCTAGCCTTTCTTGTTCTATTGGGCCCCCATGTGACTTCAGCCATCTAACGACGACTTACGGTCTCTGCTCGTTTGCTGTGACTAACTGTATTTGTTTCTGTTTTCATGGAAACTTCAATTTGGCCATAATTGATGAGTGAGTAGGTGGGTAGGTGCACCCCTCGTCTACTGGGAAGTTGTGAAGCTAGTCCCTCTGAATGAAGAAGAAGCGGGTGTAAATGTGGAAACATAAATAAGTTAGGAATATAAATTTTCACATGACAATTCTTTCTGATATCGAAAATCTTGTGTTTTCCACTGGTTCTCGTTGGATGCCTTCGTAAGGGCCAAGCTCTTGGCTGAGTAACTCTATGGGTAGCCCATGAGCCTTTTCTACATGCTAGTGGGTCTCACTATCTTGGATTGTTCCCTGTCGTCTTCACTGTGGAGAGCTTCGGTGAAAACACTAAGAGCCTTTCGTCCCTTGTATATCATCGGCTGCCACACCGCAAACGCGGTTGGTGTGATCTCGCAAGATTACATTCCCTGTGTGTACAATCTTTGCATGCAAGCATCGAGAGCAAAGAGGTGTGCAAACCTCACCAAACTCTAGGCTAGCACCTAAAGCAAAGCACTTATGCAATATAAACTAGTCTAAGCACCAATTAATACTTTTGCTAATTTCCTTAATATTCACTTACGTGCTTTGGTGGCTAGATCACATACAAGAGTGCATCAACACTTCTACTAGCTTCTCCAAGCTCTTACAGTTCAAATGGCTAATAGACCCAAGCCAACAAATTAGCCATTACACACTTTGCAGTGAGCACCAAAGCTTTGGAAGAGTAGCATCCGAGCTTTCCATTGCAGAAACTAGCCGTTGGACAAATAAATATCACCTCTACTTCTAGTTATCACCGGAGTTCTAGCATCAAAGCTTTCTAGTGTGCACTAGTGTTTAGCACTAGAGCTTTCCGAGGCTCAGTTTTCAACATGACATTTTCATATTTTGTGTGTAACTTTTTTGCTTTGAACTCCAATGTAATGATCTTGGACTTCTTGGAAATATAATGAAGAGCTCTACAACTTTGAACTGATGCCATGCTAATTTGAGAAGATACTACTGGAGATACTGCCAAAAAATTCCGATGCTCTTTTTCAACATGATGCAATTTCATATTTTGGGTCTAAGTCTTTGCTTCAAACTTCAATTTTGATGATCTTAGACTTGTTTGAAAGCTAATGAAGAGATCTGCATCTTTGAGCTGATATCATATCAATGTGAGAAGATCCAAATTATAGATGAAAGGGACCGTGACGCCTAAGAGGGGGGGTTTGAATTAGGCAACTTAAAACTCTAACTGAAAACTATGACGTCTAATTCCACCTAGTCAAAACCTATGCAAGAAAGTAATCTATCTAGATGTGCAACTATGGTTTTGCTAGGTGTGTTGCTATCTCTACCGTAAAAAGGAGTTATGCAACCTAGGTTTCAAACCTATCAACTAGCCTATCACTAAGCTAGGAAAGTAAAGCACAAACCAAGATTGCAATGCAAATGCGGAAGCTAAAGAGTAAGATAGAGATATGCAAACTCTCGTCGACGACTCCGGTATTTTTACTGAGGCATCGAGAAGCGCGTAAGCTTCCCCTAGTCCTCGTTGGAGCCCCTCGCAAGGGCCAAGCTCCCGGTCGGGTAACTCCGTGGATAGCCTCGGGCCTTTCCCACGCACAAGTGGGTCTCCGACATGCCTTCCGGCAAGCCTCGCTCGGATGCTTCTCGCCGTCTTCACTATCAAGCTTCTGGCTGAAACGCCGTGGGCCTTGTTCCCTTCGATACACGGTGGCGGCCACACCACAAACGCGGTTGGTGTGATCTCGCAAGACTATAAGCCCCTCCGATGTACAATAATGGTGCGCACAAGCACCGAGTGATAAGAGGTGTGCAAACCTCACTAAACACTAGGCCTAAACCTAGAGCAAGTGCATAAGCGGTGGTCTAATCAACCTAAGCACTTCGTAAAGTACCCACGTAATCACCTAATGAATCACTAAGCACTATGCAAGTGGAGATTACTAAAATGGTGTATCAACACCTTTGGTATGTTTCCTCAACTCTTCACCTATCAAATGGCCGGTTGGAGGGGTTTATTTATAAGCCCCATAGAGAAAGTAGCCGTTGGGGGTGAAACCCAGCTTTCTGCTACTGACCGGACGCTGCTGTCGTCCCGACCAGACACGTCCGGTCATCCCGACCGTTGAAGCTAGCGCGTTGATCGGACTCGGCGCTGAGTCCGATCACTGATGATCGGATGCGTCCGGTAGCGCTGGCGCCGCTCTGGAACCTCTCTGGACTCGATCGGACGCTGCAGTTCCTACGTCCGGTCAATCACCCTCTAGCATCCAGTCAATGCTGAGTTGTTGTCGCGATAGTGAATAGTGTCATCATCGCGTCCGATCACTTGAATGCTCAGCGTCCGGTCGCTGCTGCTGACGCCTGCCGTTGCCGAGCAACTGATCGGACGCGTCCGGTCCCTCTAAGGGCCGCATCCGGTCACCTCTGCCAAGCTTGTTTCTACG